GTGTTAGGGAAGAGCTGATTAGCAAACGAACGCTCACCTGCTATGCTCTTCTTTGCACGATTTTGAAGACCTACCAGCCCGGTGGGGCCCAGGAGCGTGCAAGACTTCTCGATGCACTTCAGTATCCGGGTAAGGCCTCCTCTCCCCAAGATGCCGTATCAAAGCTACAACTCTGGCATCGCTGGTTAGGTCGAGCAGGCTCCCTTGGGGTTCAGAGACCAGACGCTTCTCTACTTCTGAAGGGATTGGATGCTCTTTCGGCCCCTTTGCTTGGCCAACACTATGAACTTCGTTTCAGAGTTAGCTCAGCGAGACAACAGTTGCAACTCGATCATATACCTTCTGAAGCTGGGGTCCTTGAGTTTGCAAGGGTGTTGCAGTCTGAGTTCGAGGTTTTAAGTTTGGCAATTCCAGAGAAGGCATCACGAGTCGCAAGGCTTGGGGAAGGCGATGGTAAGGAGAAGGGGAAGGGTGCCGGTAAGGGCAAGGAAGAGGTTAAGGGTGATGGTAAGAAGAAGGGTAAGCCTTGCAAAAACTGGATGACGGCAGGTGGTTGTAGATTTGCGGCTAAATGCACGTTCGCGCATGAGCCTGCGGTTACGATCCAGAGTGGTCGTTGTTTCCGGTGTTCCGCTGAAGGACATCGGAAGGATGCGTGTCCATACGGGGACACCGGAGCGGAAAGCTCCAACAAACAGGGCACAGGGGCGGAAGCTAAAGCGAAGGCCAAGGCGGCTCCTGGTGTCCGAAAGGCTGGTGTAGGCCAAGGTTCGGGGGACCCGTCCGGGGCTGCAAACCAAGCCGAGTCGGGGAACCTCAGCGGAGGACAAGCGCAAGCGGAGCTCCTTCGCGAAGCCACTGAGGCGCTTAAGGCCCTCGCATTGAAGGCGATGCGGGATGTGGCACCTGCTCCATCCAGTCCGGTTGACGGTATGCCGCGGTGTACTGGTCGTTGGTTGGGTGGTGGAAGTTTGGAGTTGCTTGAGGGTGGCGGTGAGCCAAAGGTTTGTACTGTTGTGCGTTCCACTTCTCCGGTAGGATTGCTGGACAGTGGGGCCACTTGCTGCATGAGGCAAGCACTTCCGGGGGAGCTGGAAGGCTGCACGAAGCGCACGGTGGCTTTGGCGGTCGGCTCGACGGATCTACATGTAAACTCTTGCGGCACGATTTTGACGAGGGAAGAGGTCATGCCAATAGTGTCGTTGTCTCTGTTGGTTCGGATTGGCTACAAGATTCGTTGGAAGTCTGAGGGCAATCTGGAGTTGCGAAGCAAAAAGGGGCTGCGCGTTCCGGTTTCCACCCAGTCTGGTTGTCCTGAGGTTGGCAAGAGTTGCGCGCTACGCATGATCGGTGAGATTGAGGGTTACTTGCGGCGTGTGGAAGGAGTTCGCCGGGTGGCTCCAGTGGTACAGGGTGACTTGACCACTGATCCTTTGGTTGTGTTGGATCAGATCCGTTGCCAGAGGGATGCGGGTGAAGATACGTTGGGTTTGGTTAGATGCTGGCTTGCTTTAGCGTTTCCAGAAGCCCCAGCAGATCTACTCGACCGTGCAGCGGTGTCCGCTACCGTCGCGGGCATAGACTCACCTTGGAATCGGCGGCGACGCAGACAGCTGTCACTTGCCAAGGGGGGCATTCTTCTGAACTTGTTTGGGAGTGTTGCTAGTGGTGAACTTCGTCAGGTTGCTCAGGCTCAAAACCTTGAGTTGTTGGACGTTGATGTTGATGAGGATCCTTCTCTAGAATCTACTTTTGCTGGAATCTTGGGACTTGCTCTTGAGGGTCGGATACGGATTGTGCTTGGAGAACCACCATGCCGTACTTTCGGCGCCCTTCGCACACAACCAGGTGGTCCTCCAGTCGCGCGTGATCGGTCCGGACCGGGACGATGGGGAAAAGTGTACCTCTCAGAGGCTGAGTCGGCGAAGGTTCAGCATGACAACATCATGGTCATCAGACTCATGTCCATTCTTCGTGTGGCACATGCTGCTAATCAGGCCTTAGGCCGGGGTCCCGTAGGCGTAATGATTGCGCAACCACGTGATCCCATGACATATGTAGCATGTGACGCTCCAGACTTGTACCCGTGTTTGTTTGCGACCTTGGAGTGGCATGAGTTGCAAAAAGAATTGGGGTTGAGCTTGATTGCTTGTGACCAGGGAGTTTTAGGTTGTGGAGGCGTGAAGCTCACTCACCTGGCGACAAATCTCAACTTGAGTTGGCTTACTCCTGTCACCGCGGGAGTCTCGCAGCCACTTGGTGATGAAGCCGGTTCGTGCGTCTCGGTTGCATGGTCGCCTTGGCCTCCGGGTCTTGTGTATGCAGTCCAAGTTGCCGTTCGAGAGTTTTTTGCTGAAACAGCGGTGAGGGCCATGAGTGAAACGGACAGGGCTGCCATGAAGCGGCACGTTGAACGCGGTCACTTGCCGTATTGGAAGCGTTGCAGAAGTTGCGTCGAGGGGCGTTCCAAGGATCGTCGCCACGTGCGTGCTGCGGTTCCCGAGGCAAATGTGTTATGCGCGGATCTGGTTGGGCCGTATGCCGCCGGAGAGGACGAAAAGATCGCTCGGGTCCGTTATGCGTTGGTGTGTGTGCTTGTACTTCCGGATTTAGAGCGCCTGCAAAAGCAGGAACATCAAAAGCAGGACTCGCTGGTCGGTGAAGGTGAAGGGTGTCTGGAGGCTGCGGGTGCCGGGTTAAGCGACCTAGATGATGGTGATTCTACCGAACCTGGCCCAATAGAGCCTGCCGACCCTCTACTCAGCCCAGAGTCCGAGGAACCTGGGCCTGACGGATGGGAGTCGCCAGGTGTGGGTTTCCGGGAAGTCGTTGAGGATTCATGCGCAGGTGAGCTTGAAGCTTTGGACGCCGTTGGCCGCAACCTGTTGGAGAGGCTGCCTACTGTGGAACTGACATTCACTGAGGTTCTGGGATCAAAAAGGGGGCGGGAAGTCCTCACAGCTCTCCGGCGAGTGGTCGCTAGGATTTCAGCTCTCGGATACCCGATCGTCCGCCTAATGACGGATAGTGGAGCAGAGTTCGTGAACCGTGATTTGTTGGCTTGGGCAGCGTCGCGCGAGATTCAGGTTAGCAACACAGGTGCTGACGACTTTCGCCGCAATGGTAGGGCTGAGAGGTGTGTTGGTATTCTAAAAGGAATTGCTCGTACACTACTTCGCTCAATCGAGCTGCCTGACAAGGCTTGGCCCTTTGCTTTCAGATATGCTGCGGAGCTTAGGCTTCGGTCTGCATTGCAATATCTAGGACATCCGGGAACTCTTCCTTTGGTGCCTTTTGGCACTTCGGTTTTTGCTCGGCAGCGCTCCTGGAAGGTATCGTTGTGGGAGGCAAAGGTGGTTCAAGCCATGGTGTTAGCTCCTGCGCGTGATGTGGCTAATGCTTATTTGGTTCAGACGGTGAACGGTGAGTATTTCGTTACTTCAGTCTTGTTCCGGGATGTGCTGACATGTCCGAATCCACCTGCTGTAGTGAACGAGGACACATTGCATGATCTCGAGCCACCCCTTCGAGCCCCTCAGCGTCGAGTTCGTCGTAAAGTACCCGAAGCTGCCCCCATCCCTCAGCCTGCCCCGATTATCCCTCGAAAGCGGCTTCGTGAGAAGACCACCCTTGCTGCTTTGAGAAAGCACTTCTTCACGGAAGATGAGCACGCAGCCATGCTGGCAGATACTGTGCCGTTTCAGCTACATCGTGCGATTGAGTTTTTGCTCACATCGTCCTGGGTGCAGTCGGTGCCTGCTGCATCGCAAGGATCTACGAGACCGGGTATGCATAGTGTTTGGGGGTTGTATAGGCACGGGGGAGTGATAGGGGTGACGAGGGCTTGTCAGGAACTTCCTGGGTTCGGACGGTTGTTGGTGACATTGGCCCGCTTTATTTGCGCTGAGCAATCCTTCACTACTGTAGCTCTCACTCATGACGGCAATGTTCCACCCCATAGGGATGTGAGCAATCTCCCCCACTCCAACCTGCTGTATCCTTTGAGTCTTCCGAAGGGGGGTATGTGCTTATGGTCACAGCTTGGGTTTGGGGATGTAGTAGAAGGACCGATTGAGGTGAGGACAGTTCCTCACGGTAGCTCTGAGGCAGGGCAGTTGAGATGGCTTTTCGTGCAGAAGCCGATGCTTCTGGATGCGCGTAGATGGCACTCAGCTCAGGCATTTCAGGGCAGTCCGCTGTTGCTTGTTGCCTATTCTCTTCAAGCCATAAACCGGGCAAGTGACGCAATCTGTGATGACCTTCGTAAGCTCGGCTTTCCGTTGCCCCGCCTTGATCCTGCTTCGTTGCATGTTCGCGGTCCTGAAATCCCCACTACTGATGCTGATGATGCTCATCAGGGGGGAGGGTGTGGGATTGATGCTGGAGGGAATCTTGATGCTGATTTGACGGCAGCATTGCGAGTGAGTCGCCAACCTAGCTCGAGAGCTGGCTCGTCGACCTCAGGGCTTTCAGGCTCCAAACGAGTCTCCTTCGGGGTTCCACTCGACGAAACCATAGGTTTTGCTGAGGGCAGTTGTACATCAGAGGCTTTGAAGAGTTTGGGTTCCAGACACTCTCTTCGGATGTGCTGGTGTTGCGACAGGGCTTGTGCTGAGTGCGGTGAGTTCTTTACCACTGAGGAGAGTCCAGAAGGGATGACTGCATCAAGCTATCACGGTCATGTTGAGCTCTTGGATGGTGTGAGGGCGGTAAGTGACCTCGAGGATTGGATCGAGTGTGGCGATCTGTTTCATAGGGTCTTCAGGGTTGAGGGTAGGCTTCATGCTGCTTCCGCCTGTTCAGCTGACGATCGCATCGTTGATTACACGTTGTGTGCGATTGAGCTTCCGTGCACGGGTTCGTTTAGCGAACTGTCTGGGTATCGTAAACAGTGGTTTGGAAAGGGAGTAGAAGAGCTTGATCAACATCAGTTGGTTTTGAAGGCGTTGATGCGTGATGAGCGGAAACTGCTAAGGCATGAGACCGAGGATGATGCAGGAATGCGCGCGGCGCCCGCTACGGCTGCGTTGCTCACTGACATTGCATCGGAGGTTCACTGCCTGGAGCGCGAGCTTGTGTCGTTGCGGGCAGGTTGGTCGGAGCCAGAGTGCGATGCCTTGCGAGCTTGTCATGTTGGGGGTGAGCTTGAGTCGTTGAGTGCGCGTGGTGTCGAGCGTGAGCTTGAGTCGTTGAGTGCGCGTGGTGTCGAGCGTGAGCTTGTGGCATTGAGAGCTTGTCTTGCAGAGCATGAGCTTGTTGGTTGGAGAGCGTGCCCCGCGGAGCATGAGCATGCTGTGTTGAAGGCTTGTCGTGTCGCTGCGGTCGCCGAGGCATCTGACCACCATAGGGTTTCCGATGAGGTTCCAGCTCCGTTGCAAACGCAGACCTACAGCAACGAAGAGGTGTTTGCCGAGTGGTCGGAGCCTTGGATCGAGTGCACTCGCAAGGAGTTGTCGTCGCTGCTAGATGTTAAAGGTGCTTTGGCCAGGACTACCGAGGAAGAAATCCAACGTTGGGTTGAGGAGGGGGCAGAAATCACCCGAATCCCATCAAAGACGGTGTACACGCGGAAAGCGGTAAGTGGACGCCGCAAATGCCGCATCGTGTTATGCGGTAACGCTTTACCCGCCAACCTTGATGAATCCTCCTTGGACCGTCGACTGGCTACTTACGCCGGGGGTGTTGACATCAGTTTGTTGAGAGTCCTCCTAGCCGAAGCTGTGGAGCACCGCTATCATCTGGCGGTTTGGGATATTTCCACGGCGTTCTTGAACGCCCCGTCCCGTCCCAGAGATCTGAAAGCAGCTCACCGGGGAAAGAAGCAAATTGTGATCGCAACACCGCCAAGACAACTGGTGCGTCGAAAGCTGATCCCCTCCCACGAACTGTGGAGGGTATTGTTGGCCGTTTACGGGTTGGACACAAGTCCTCGTGACTGGACGCTGTTTCGCAACGAAACCTTGCGCGACTTGACGGTGCTGGTGGAAGGCGAGGTTCTTCTTCGGTTGAAGGTATGTGCTGCTGATAGCAATATCTGGTTTGTCGTGCGGCTGGAAAGTGTTGACGCGCCCCTGAATGTCGGTGTGGTGTGTGGCTGGCTAGCCATATACGTTGACGATTTCTTAGGTGCTGCTCGGCGAGTCTATGTCGAAGCGATTTACCACAAGATCAAGGGCATTTGGGACAGTGGTGAGTTGGAGCACGTTGTGTGCCGGGGGCAAGGCGATTCAGTTCGATTCAATGGGCTCGAGCTGCAATGGGACAGCGACGGAAGCGGGTTGTACGTCCATCAGTCATCCTACATCAAAGATCTGGTTGGGCGATACCCGGAAGTCAAGTGTCAAGCTGTGCCCCTGTTGCGTCCGCTTTTGAGTGAAACGGCCGAGGATGACATTGAGGGCCACCTCAAAGCTTGCCAAAAGGTCTGTGGCGAGCTCCTTTGGCTGGCCGTGAGAACACGACCAGACCTGGTGTTTGCATGCTCTCGCATTGCATCTGCGATGTGCAAACGTCCACAAGAGGCCTACGGGGCTGCGCTTGGTGTTGTTGGATACTTGAAGACTACACCTGTGCTTGGCTTGTTCTTTACCACGAAGCCGAGTGCTCATTGGGGGGAGGCCCGCCGTGCCGTCCAAGCCTCTGGGCTACTTGAAGTGCATACCGATGCGGGCTTCGCGCCCGAGGGCCTCCGTAGTCAAGAGTGTGTTTGCATTTATTGGCGCGGTTGTTGCGTATGTTGGGTTTCGACAAGACAAAGCTTTCTCGCCCAGTCGACTTGTGAGGCGGAGTTGGTCTCTACCATCTCCGGCTGCAATCTCGGCGACTCCTTGGCCGTCCTCTTGAACGAGTTGTATTCCAGCCAGGGTTTTCGAAAGATTCTCCTGAACGACAATGCTGCTGCCATCGGCATCCTAGCTGCGGACACCAACAGCTGGCGCACGCGTCACCTCAAGATCCGTGCAGGGGCATTGCGGGAGAAGGTTGCTTTGTTTGAGTGGGAGGTGCTGCACCTCGATGGTCAGCATAACACGGCTGACATCGGGACCAAGATCCTCCAACAGCCTCGAGTTGAACGCCTGCGGGACCTGATCGGCATGAGTGCTGTAGAACCTGCGGTCAGCACCCCTGCATCTGCAGGGGTTGCTAGAGTTGCAAAAGTGTTGGGCGCGCTTGTCTTTAGCCTTTGCGTTGAACCTTCGGCTGGGGTGCGTGATCAAGCTGAGTTTTCGGAAGGCCCGTCTTCATGGATAGACTGGATCCTGTTTGCATTGCTGGTGGTGTGGACAATCGCAGTAATTGCAGTGTGGGAAGTGTTGAAGGGTCTCTTTGGGCAGGCCACCAGACGGCCGTTTGAGCCTGAACCTCACGAGGAACCGGAAGGACCTGAAGAAGCGGATCCTGAAGATGAGCCTCCGCCGCTTGAGCCGCTGCATCTTCCCGAGCCCCCACAGACGCCCCACGATCTGATTCACGCTAGTAGGGTTGAACGACCTGCTGTAGCGCCTCATGCTCCTAATAGGCCCCCTCTGCCTGTTCGAAATCCTGAGCCCGACCCTGAACAGGTTGCTCAAGAGATCGTTCATGAACTGCATTACATCGATGACACTGCCCAGTTTCGAGTTTCGTTGGACCCTCAACCTGCCTCTTGGTTGTATCCGGCACCGCCGTTGCGCCTGAGAGCGGGTTGGCCTGACCCAGTCCAGCTCACTTTTGAGGACCTTGCTAGAAGCAGTTCGGTTTGGGGTGGGGATGAAAGCGCGTTGTTTCTGTTGCCGCCCGCTGACCAAGCAGACTTTTTTGAGTCTCCCTCTGCTGGAAGGGCGGTTGTGGTGACTAGGTGGCACTCCACTCCGAGGGTCCGAATGTTCACGCCAGTGCACACGACCACACCTTTCCGTCTTGAAGTGTTCACCGGGCTCCGACGAACGCTGGTGCAGTATCTTGATGGTCGAAGATCAGTCATCGATGATGACTGGCGCGTCAGAGGCGCTGGACAGGCGTATCTGCAGAGCCGCTGGCGGGGTCGCACTGAGTTACAGATTGATGTTGATCTGCTTAGCCCCCGGGAGGCTGCTCAGATCCGTCGTTTAGCGATTGATCAGAGAAACCTGCTACGCAGGTAGTTTTTGTGCCGCCATTTTGGCGAAGTTTTTCGATCGAAGACCGGTCGAAAAAGGGGGAGAGTGTGAATCTGCCCAGGTGCGCCGCTCAGACGCCGCTACCGGCGGCACTGGGAGTAGTTTGCTTGTACACACCACCCATCACTCCTACCGCTTTTGGGCTACAAGCCTCAGAGCAAGAGGGTGACACACACAAATCAAGAAGTGTACAACTGCACCTGGCAATACTTTTCTCTTGCTGTTGTGGCTGTAAAAGAGTTCGCTGCGTACTCCGTGCGAGGGCTTGTTGTTCTCACACGAAGGGTTCAGGGTTTGGGGTTTAGGGGTAGTTGTTCACCGGGCTTGTTTTGCATGTTACCCACAGAAGAACTGCGTTGGAAGGTAATAAGAGATCATGCGTTCGAAGGTTTGGTAAGTTCTAACATCCCCCCCCAAAAAAAATGTGATGCAAGCCGCCTGCCCAAAACGGCGGCTTTGGCAATTTTCAATTCCTCTTCCGCTGATTTCCTCCTGCTTCTTCTGATCCTCTCCGCAGAGGAGGGTCGTGCTGGAGCCTCCTGCGTAGAACTCGATGACATCCGCCAGGTCCGGTTCCTCCTTCTGTTTCTGGGTACACAACTTGTGCAGCACGCTCATCCTCCTTCGCAATGTTGGCTGCAATGGCTTTCTCTGCCCTCTTTCTGCTTCGCCTCGCGTTGCGAGGATTTGACGGTCTCCGATCAGCGCTTTCCTCCGGAAGAAGGCGCTGTCTCCATGAGTGCCATTGTTTCACCAATGTCATCTCTGTCTTCAGGATTTAGTAACCCTAAACCCTAAACCCTCTAAACCCCTAAACCCTAAACCCTAAACCTAGTAGGGTTGCTTGCAAGAGCCATACCCTAAACCCCGAAACCCTAAACCGTCTGGGAGGCTTACAGTTTCTTTGTCGGGACTCTTAATGCAGGGTGGAATGACCCAAAAACCCTGTCCTAAATGCACCCCAGAAGATAGCAGCCCCGAAAGAACCCCTTACAGAACCTAAAGATACCCTTCTGAAGCCCTATATCTTCATGCCCTGAATTCACCTCGGAACCTCTTACCTGCGCCCCGTTTGAGGTTAAGAGGATCACTCCACACCCCAGGTCTTTAGGGTTTATAGTAACCCTAAACCCTATTAAGTTTATAGGGTTTAGGGTATAGGGTATAGGGTTTAGGGGCTTTAGGGGTTTAGGGTTTATAGGGGTTTAGCTGTCACCCATCTGCTTTGCTGAGAAGTCGCCTGCTCCTCAATGATGTTTGACCTGGGTCTGACTTCTCCGGGCTCAGGGATTTGGGAGTTTCCGAACATTGGGGGTACCTTACATTGGGGGGTCCTTAGAATAAGTACTATTTAGGGCACTATATTAGGGTCCCTATTTTCGGAAACCCCCATGTGGCGTCCGGTTCGGGGTCCCAGAACCCCGGGGAGGATCTAGAAAGTAGATCCCCTTATTTGGGGCCCTATACTACTAAGGCAAGGGGACTTGAAAGGAACCCCCATTAAGGGATCTACTTTTCGGATCCTGGGGTGGTATACCGTCTGTAAGTACTTATGTAGGGGAGTATCTCGAAGCATGCAGGCTCGAATTTCAGACGAAAACGAGTAGTTTGGGTGGTTGGGTTTTCTTTGCAGGAACTGCGCGTTCCCTTTTCTTGCGTAATTTAGACTTTAGACCATGAAGGCCAAAGGCCAGCGAGCAGCGGGCAAGCCAGCAATTGAAGCCATGACGGGAAGTTCAGGACCCAGGGCTGCAATTAGGGTCTATACCCTGGGGTTTCAGCTTCAGATAAAGGACGCTGTGACGGGGCCGGGCATAAAGCTGTGTGACCTTGGGGTCTTGAAGGTATAGGGTTCAGCGTTTGGGGGTTCTAGGGTGTTCCGTCACAACTGTACTGCAGGTGACACTGCAATGTTATCTAGAAAACAACCCTAAAAAGCCCAAACCCTACATAAACTTGGGCCAAACCTGAGGCTTGCACCAAAGAACGGCTGCGCCTTGCCTGCCCGAGGGGCTTAGGTGTAGGAGGTTGAGCTGAGAGTTTAGGATGGGTTAAGATTTCAGGACTTGCAGGGCTTCGGAATGTAAGGATTTAGGGTTTTCGGGTTTTGAAGCTTCAGGTCTTTGGTTTTGAGCTTTTTTGCAGGTTTCCTGCACGGCTACATGGGTGCTTCAGCAAAATCTTGCTGAAACGATGGTGCTCTGCCGGCAGTCAGTGTTGGGAGGGAGGAGGAAATGGTGGTGTATCCCAAATCCTGTGCCCTAAACCCTTACGTTGTTGTTGTAATGGTCCTTCCAGTCGCACGAGCTGAACCTACCGCTTCCGCCTTAAGGCTTCTTTTTGGGCTCCCTCCCCTGAATTCCTAAATCCTTCACACCTAAACCTCTATAAACCCTCAAACCCCTAAACCCCCCAAACCCTAAAACCCCCTAACTCCTATAAACCCCCTAAACCCCCTATACCCCCCTATACCCCATAAACCCCCTAAACCCTAAAACCCGCTAACTCCTATAAACCCCCTAAACCCCCTATACCCCCCTATACCCCATAAACCCCCTAAACCCTAAAACCCCCTAACTCCTATAAACCCTATAAACCCCCTATACCCCCCTATACCCCATAAACCCCCTAAACCCTAAAACCCCCTAACTCCTATAAACCCTATAAACCCCCTAGACCCCCCTATACCCCATAAACCCCCTAAACCCTAAAACCCCCTAATTCCTATAAACCCTATAAACCCCCTAGACCCCCCTATACCCCATAAACCCCCTAAACCCTAAAACCCCCTAACTCCTATAAACCCTATAAACCCCCTAGACCCCCCTATACCCCATAAACCCCCTAAACCCTAAAACCCCCTAACTCCTATAAACCCTATAAACCCCCTAGACCCCCCTATACCCCATAAACCCCCTAAACCCTAAAACCCCCTAACTCCTATAAACCCTATAAACCCCCTAGACCCCCCTATACCCCATAAACCCCCTAAACCCTAAAACCCCCTAACTCCTATAAACCCTATAAACCCCCTAGACCCCCCTATACCCCATAAACCCTCTAAACCCTAAAACCCCCTAACTCCTATAAACCCTATAAACCCCCTAGACCCCCCTATACCCCATAAACCCCCTAAACCCTAAAACCCCCTAACTCCTATAAACCCTATAAACCCCCTAGACCCCCCTATACCCCATAAACCCTCTAAGCCCTCCGAAGCTCCAAGATCCAAACTCGACTCAACGCCCCCCTTTGTGTCTCGCTCCCCCTACCTCAATATGCAGTAACCTGATTAAGAAACCTTGGGCCTTTATTGGGGTTCCATAAGGGTCCCTTTAAAAGGGTAAAACCCTAAACCCTAAACCCTAAACCCAAAACCCAAAACCCAAAACCCTAAACCCTAGGTACTTACTATAAGGGTACTACAACAAAGGGGCCTCGGTCTGAATCTGATCCCCAGGGCGGGAAAGAAGGTGTCGCCGGCATCTCAGCTCAACGGGCTTTCGGGTTTGGGCATGGCAGGGCTTAGGGTGTAGGGTTTAGGGTAGCCAGAAAGTAGGAACACCCTTCACCTTGTAGCACTAATTCTCCTAAACCCCTGTTCCAACTTTGTAGGATCTGCTGTAGAAGCCATGTATGTTTGTTGAGCACCATCTCTTGCATAAATCAGGGCCTGCATCAAAGAACCCAGTTTTCCGATCTGCTGGACTTAGCGTACCTAGGATACCCAGTAACCTAAGAATAAAAAAGCCTCTCGTTTTGGTATTGGGTAACTTTATAAGGAATTTAGGACTACAAAAAGGGAATCAGGGTACTACTGGGCATCCTAGCTATACTTGTTGTCTGCAACCACACCTCAGGAGCCCTAAATCCGGTGTGTTCCAGGTCTAGCATATATGGGTGGCTGTCAAAACTAGGTCCCTTTTTGGGGTCCCTTTTGTAATACGGCACCTAATATTTAGGGTACTCAAAAAGGGACCCTAATTTTGACAACTACCCTATTACATCCAAAACATGCAAGCCTTTGAAAACGAGGGGGGGGGGTTGGTGATCCCCCTCGGCAGGGCTAAATGGATTCGGCCAAAGCCTCAGCAGCCAACCGCACAACCGAGGCTCATGGTGGGCCTGTTTGGAAGTCGAACGAGCATGCACAGAAAGTACAAGCACATGCTGAAAACAGCATTAGATACAATATCCGATCTCATGATGAATATTGAGAATGAATATACCTGTAATTTTATAAATATTATCAATATAGCTGATATCATTATGAATATTATGAATATACCTGTCCCCCAGACCCTGCGGGGCCCTCGCGGAGCTTGGAAGGCTATGGTACTTTGTGAACCCGAAAAAAAACAGGCCCAACGCCCCGCAGTAGCCGCTGGCCATCATGAGCAAGGCAATGCGGCTTAGGATCAGAGAAGTAGATCGGATGGCAAGCTCGGGTTAATATAAGCGGCTAACTTCACTGAAAGAACCTGCTTTCTACTGCTACAGGCCTCAAACCGGCCCTAGACCCCTAAATAGACCCCTTGCCCCTAAAGCTCGAAGTTCAGGGAGCTACTTAGATGCCTGGAGCCCTTCTGAAGTAGGCTGCCAGGCCATCAGATGGATCCAAGTCGTTCAAGTACACGAAGACCTCGATGATTGGGGTCTCGGGATGGGGTTTATAAGGATTAGGGCTAACGGTTTAGGCTTTATTAGGGTTTAGGGCTTCGGGGTTTGGGCTTCGGGGTTTGGAGTTTTGGGATGAGGGTTTACCGGGTTCCATCGGGTTGGGGCTACACTACTGACAAAGCACTCTGTTAGTAGGAAGGGTTTAGGACTTGCATGAATCTGCAAGCACTCCGTTAGTCATAGTAAAGACGGTTTGGGGCTAAGGTTCACAGGGACTGAGCGTTTAGGGTTTGGGCGTTTGGGGTAGCTCGTTCAGCTCATGGTTCGACGATCCTGTAGCCCCCCAACACCCTCCGAAGCCCCGAAAACCAAAGCCCCGAAAGCGGAAACCCACAAACCGTAGATAATACAAAGGACGTTAGCAATCGCTTTTGAGGGTTCGTCTGGGTGTGAGAAATTTTTTGGTTGCAACAACGCTAGGT